GGACCAAAGAGTCATCCCTGCCTCCATCCAGAAATCCCAATTACTTGCATCCCAACATCTTGCCCTTCCAGCAAATGTCATGGAGGCTCAAGGGCCACACAAGAACTGGGGCTGTGATCTAGAGACTGCCTTGAGTCATTTGAAGGAGACTCCGCTCATTTGCTCATCCTGATCAGGCAGTCAGAACACACACCTCTGCCATGACCCTGGGGTAGTTTCCAGGCAAGAGCACGGAGAAGAAGCTAGGAGCAGACAAGGCCAAACACACTCTACTTGCTGATGATCACATTACCTACGAGCTTTAATTCTCGTCTCAGTATGCCACCAAAGCCAACCTATTGCAGGACACAATTGTTTCTAAAAGTAACAGTGAGATCAATATAGAACACATAAAATGTAAGCACAACCATTCGGATGGATAAAATGTAAACCCATTTACAAAATGGAAATACATTTACAAAAAAAGGTAAAATGTGAATGAAATGTAGTCACAATCATCCAATAACAAAAAGGAGAACAAAAAGAAAACCAACAACAAACAAATTCCAAGACAGAACATTGGCTAAGCTGCAAACAAAGCACAACAAAATGGGAAATGTCAGGAAAAACTGAGCTTGAATCATCACTGGGTCGGTTGAGGGATCTTTCATTTCTACAGCTGGACTCCTTCATGCCATTTCCATTTATCCAATATTCCCTGCAATGTAAAGAAAGGGGAAAAGGCGTGAAGACCAAGCCTGAGACAGCGCAGCGTGTCACACCTCAGAGCAGTAGAGAGGCAATTCCAGAAAAGCTGCCTCCTACAGCCCCCTGTGTCCTCGGCACCGAGCACTTACATCCACATGTAGGATACGTGATCGCTCCATCCAGGCACTCCACTGTAAGTTGCTCAGAGCGTGAAACTCTATGGTACCAACGTTTGCACTCAAATAAAATATAATCCCCAGAGCGATAGGTGGAAGTGCGCGACCGGCTTGATGACTGTAGTTGGATATTGTTCCTTTGCATAATGCTCTCATCCAATGTACAGTTCTCTGCAAAAAGTACTTTTGTTATTTGCCTGTAGGCCTCACACTGGACAACTGATGCTCTGAAGCTGTTAGTACCATCTGACAGTCCTTTCCCCACCAGTCTTTCAAGTGCAGGTACGCCAGTCAATGGTTTCTTGTGGGCACTGCCCCTCAAGGGCTGCAACACACAGGATGTTCCCACATCTGGTGCCCTGCCAGGCACCTCCCCAGGCACTTCCCCATGAAAGCTAAAGACTTTCCTCTCGGCTTCAGCACTGAAAATGCAACAGAACAGCTAATCTGTGGCCAAAGTGGAGGTGACTTACCTCCTGGCATGCACCGTGGATATTCTAACATCCCCTCCGTACACTGCACTCTGAAGGGGGATGATGCTGGGTCCTCCACACATCCTCTTTTACACTGAAATTCAATAAAGTCACCCGATCTGGCATACAGCTTTCTTTGCATCTTCCATTTCAGCTCAATATTGTTTCTGTCCATGTCTTCTTCAGATGCTGTGCAGGCCACTTGAATAAGGCAAGAGAAGAGTGTCATCACTTCATACAGAATCACCATGAGTAACTTTTTTTCCCCTAGACCCTGCAGAAGTTCTTCGTGTCACAAAACACCTCCAGCTATTTGCTCTGTCCTCTGTGACTTGTGAGAGGAAAGACATTCACATCCAAGCTCAAAGGGAAAAAGACCACAGCTCAGACCCCATGCAGAGCTAAGGAGAAGCCTTTTTGCTCTGACAGTCCCACAGGACACAATCGAAGCACAGAGGGGGGAAGTCACCAGGCACCAGTGTACTTCCCTGCGTCATTTTGAGATCTTCCCTTCCCCTTTGCCCAGCACTTCTCTAAGTTTGTTTCCTCATGGCCATGTCACAGATGCACCCCAGGATTTCCCCAGCGCTGCCACACACTCAGACCCATCCTCCCCGCTCACAGCCTGCTGACCGTAGTGGTGACCCCAACTCGGGACCTCTGGGAGCCCTGTACAATGATGGAGATCCCCTCACACAGCGAGGCTCAGCCAAACTCCCCGCCTCGGGATCTTGTTGGGGTGGCAAGAGACAGCAGGCAGCAGCAGGGACTACACGAGCTAACTTCAAGAAGAAATTCCTTCTGGACAAAAGGACTCATCATTGTTCTGCCCTGCCGGCATCGCAGCCCCAGTGCAAGTGCTGCTGCACAGGTGATGCCCTCAGGAGCTGAGAAAAAGAAAACAGGAGCAGTCACACAGCATTTGGCCACACGGCACGTGCTTCAGCCTACCTAGGCAAACCGGGGGGCTTGTCCACTGCCCGTCAGTACAGCTGATATACCGAGATCCTTCCAGGACATAGAGACTTGGGCACTTGTATTCCAGAGTTGTGCCTTG